TTTTTTTTTTTTTTTTTTTTGCCATTTTTTAATGGTACATTTAGTTTAATTCGTGTATCATATATTTCATCTATTCATCCACTCATTCACTCATTCACTCACTCATTCATTCATTCATTCATTCATTCATTCATTCATTCATTTATTCACTGGTTCGCTCTGTTCATCCATTCATTTACTGAACTGATTAAAAAATTAAAATGAATACTGAAAAAACCAAAAAAAAGTCTAAATTCCAAATAATCTTGCTCAGTTTCTACTAATCTTATCGAATCCTTTTCTTCTTCCTTCTTTTTTTTCCCCTCAGTTTCCAACTTTCATCAAAACATCTCACATAGAGTGACTAACCAAGAAAATCCTAACCTACCACATAGATACATACAAATATTGCTGATATATGCTTTGCTATAAACTAAATGCATAAATATACAGATCAAATAATAAGAGTGTCTATTGTTGGTTTTAGTAAATTACCTGTCTTTTCAAATTTTATCAAATTTTTGACAAAGTTTGAGCAGCAAAAACGATGAACAATGTTAAACAATAATTCTGCTCTTTTACTGTTGTTTAGTGCATTTAAATTTTTAAAAAAATTGCAAATTTCTTATGCCAAGTTTTTGAACAGATAAAATCCAGAACTTCCTTCTTTTGTTTTGATGTTACAGAATCACGAAAACACTTAGCGGTTTTCAAACTAAAATACTCGTAAAGCGGTCTTTTAGTTGAATCAATAAGAAGAAAAAAGTGTTCTTTTCTATTCATCATATAGGTAATAATTTCTCCTTCATTTTTTTTTTCACTTATTAATATTTATTGTTTTTCCTGTAAAAAAAAGTTCAAGTATTGGTATTTTTTTTTCTGCTTTTACAACAACAACAACGCTATTACTGAGCAGCAAAAAAGAAGTAGCAAATATATTCATTATTAAAGAATTGTTTGAGAAAAAAAAAAAAACGAAAACTTTTCTTTGGTTACTATCGACTTTCTTGAAATTCAAATAATTCAATTGCTATTCTGAACTGAATCTATGCATTAAATGCAAAGCGAAAAAAAAAACTAACTGCTAACAACTGAAAAGAAAAAACAAAAAAAAAAATTTTTTTTTTGGAAGATGAAAAGAAATGAATAAATAATATGGGTATTCCATGTATTTCTAAAACTAAAACACAGTTTTTTTTTTTTCAACTGCTCTTAAGGCTTTAGTACTTTTTTCCAAATTTAAAAAAAAAAATTATTTTTTACCAAAATAAAACCCCATCCAGTATTGGTACAGTTTAGCAGTGCTGTACTGCAAAGTATCAAATAC